TGGTATTGATCTAGTTTAGTAGGACTTGGTTGAGGACAGGTGGCCACTAGAATAGAATTCAAATGTTGAATTATACAGGATTCGTTGTATAACTTTGTACCGACATTCGGACTGTGAAATTCGTTAATTTGACAGGGACAGATTTGTCTACTGTTAGAGCGACTGGTCTTCAGTGATGTACATGCCTGAGTTGGAAGACTTCACGAATAATGTAATATGACAAGGTTAGGGTATAAATAATTTCTTAGACCCTCTCACAGTTACTTGTGACAGCAGCATCCCTTAACACTCTGCTTGGCGTTGAAAACTCGACCCAGATGCCGGCAATTCTTATTAGGCGGTTTCCCCATATCCTGATTTATTTTATTTATCAACCTATTGTAGGGGGTGAAAGTGGGCCCCAGTCCCATTCATGCTGCCATTTGAATTCTCGATTCCTACAGCCACCTTTGACAGGTTGAAGCTAAAATAGTCAAAGTTCATCCTTGAGGGTACAGGTAACAACAAAATGGTTCTGTCAAGCCATCAAGTAGGATGACGCAGTAGCAAGACACTGTACGCTACTTATGTTCCGTACGAATCCAATTCCACTGACTTCATTAAAGTTTCTCGCAGGTACAAATTTCTTTCAGCAGAGATAATGAAAGCATTATAAGTCATTATCTCTTGTATTATTAACCACTGGTTACTGACTTTAAAATACTACAGTAAAACGTACGTTTTCCAAGTAAAACTTATGTCACATACAAACTGTCGCAGGGGCAAATTTAAAGCAACATATAACGCTAAGGAAATTTATGCACATTTCAATAATATTTACATTTTATTATATAATATGGCAATATATGTGGTTATTATCCTTCAAAAAAGTGCTAGAAGGGGTTTCTTGGCTCATGGGTCCAATGAGAAAACTTGGCCATAGGAGAGAAAAGAGTTGGACAACCATGGTCTTTATTGTAAAATTTTCCTTGGTGTCCAATATTCTTGCGTGTTCTGGCCATTTTATTATTTGTCTACTTTCTAGTTAATTCTGTATACAAATTTTACCCAGTCGTTTTATTTCTCAGTTTGTCTAACTTTGTCACATTTAATGTTAATCTCAATCCCATTTCTCTGTCATCGAAGCGGCTTTACTCCCGTGTTATAATTGTCCAAAATTCTCTTAATATAGACATCCAGGTACAGTCACTATTTTATAAAACTTGATATGGTTTCTATTACAGTCTTTCTGTAGTGAGCATTCTATTGTCCCACATGTTAAGTCAAATGCCATCCTTCTGAAATGCAGCTCTGAAGGTTTGGTAAAGTTATTAAATTATTTAATTAACGGAAACAAGATTTAATCTTACAGGCAATACTTTCTTTAAACAAACACATCGATACAAACGGGAATCTTGAAGGAAGTAGAAGTTTTGGGAGTGCCTGGTACTATGAATTTATTACTTTCACTTATCATGCCTACAAAAATTATGATAAAGACAAGGCTGTGTCAAATCTAGTTCTCTATAATTTCGTACTGAGCTATCAATGAATTATAAGACTTTCAAATAACTGCTAGCTGACAATAATTCTACAATTATTTTCTCAAGGCTCTACCACATGCTAACTTCACTATAGATCAGTCTGCCCGAAATAAAATTAACTATAAATCCTGCATCGCTAAGCTATGGAATTTTCAAAACTCTCTATTATCTACGATCATATTTCATATCTTTTCGAATTGTTACGCTCTTCAGCCGTAGAAGTGAATACCGATTTTTTTCCCGATCTTCATCTTTCTTGTTCCTATAGAAACTGTTCTTTGTTATTACATCATAAAGAGATCTTCAATCCAAAGAACATCTCAGTGATCAGACTTTTGGGTAATAACTTCTTAAAGGAATAAGAAAAGGAGGCTTAGAAACAGGTCAGAACATACTCGATGGCTAAATCCATTGTCCACTAAATCATCTTCTGAACGCAGTTCAGAAGATGCGGAGTTTGATTAATATGAAAGAATTCTTTTTCGATAGAAAGCTCTTAGACTATCGAACAAGAGGAATTTTATTTTTAGATAGACGCAAGGCACATTCCGTGGTTCTGTAGTCCTCGCGGTTCGTCGAACGCTCTGCGTTCATGAGACGCGGAAAATCGGCCATACCTCATGTCTTGCTGTGTCACTCAGCGGAACGCTGGAACTCTGAATTGTCTCACGCGAAAAAGGAGTTTTGGGGGCAGATGTTCTGTCACATTTTATTTCTTTCATGTCTAGGCTACGCCAGATATAAAACAGCAGATAAACTACTTACATTTTTTAAATCCAATTTCAATAAGAATACTGCGAGCGATAATCAATGATAAAGGACTGAGCTCATGTATCTCCGCCTTCCTCTTCTTTTAAAGACTGATTACCGTTTTTCTGTCGATGCTTATGGAACGATGTATTTCGATGCGTGTTTTATAATTCTAGTGGGCAGGGATGCTACTTTATAACAGGCCACGACTATTTCATTCTTAATTCCTTCAGTTTCTTACTGTATAACATCTGCAGTTAATAAATGGCTCTTAAGATTACTCAGCCAATAACGACGTATAATTAGAAGTTACAGCGATAATGTTTGATGAGTATAAAAGGCAGTGGAGGTCATGAACTCTTTCATTCTACAAACCTTGTGAGAATATACAAGAAAAACCGAGTCATTAAATTGGTTTATTAAACTTATTGCCAATGCCCGTTTCGCTATTATATACTTTATAACATATACCGTTTGGTACATACATGGCACTTTATATATATATCTGACTATTAGATTTTTGTACAACCCTGTGCTTATTTTCCGAAATAAAATAAATTTCCCAGGTTCGTCCCTCGGAGAGGTGCATTTTTTGTAGGCCTACTATTCTTTCCTACGTCACGCCGTGTGGAAGAAACTATTTTCAAAAGGGGCGGATTGATTTTGGCTATTTTATATACGGTACAGATCCTTTCCTTTTATCAAATTTTTCAGAGGAAAATTCAGAAAAAAATCTTAATTTTTTCACTACACGGGATGCGTCGCATTAAATTAATTTTCACTCAGTATAGTCTGTAGACAATTTCGTTTCTTCCTCTTCTGTTTATCGGTCTCCTTTTCTCTTACCTTCCCTCCTTCATTCTTTATCTCTCTTTCCTTCTTTTCTTCCTTCTTCCCTTGTTTCGCTTGTCTTTGACTCTGTCTTACTAAACGCATCTTTCGTCATTCCTTCCCTCCTTCATTCTTTATCTCTCTTTCCTTCTTTTCTTCCTTCTTCCCTT